AGGTTTGCAAAAGGTGATACATAAATGGTCCTTTGGGATCTTTATTTACTTATGTGTATGACGGTGAGACAGAGAAACAGACCGCAAGGGCATGACATTAATATGAGAGGCATGTCTTTCAATATATACAGGTCATTAGTAAACAAGAGGTGAGCAGAGGGGAGGTAATAAAAAGCGCTTACTACAGCAGGTAGGCAGACACACACAAATTGCAGTGCATTTATGATTTCAGACTTTTCAAATGTCTTTGTCTAAATTTATGGATTAAAATGCCTTTTTGAGATGAATATGATTCATCATTATTATTTTTTGTCTACGTTTTGTGTAGCTCAGGTTGATCCAGGGTAAAGAGTATCAAAGCAACGAACCACAGGCATCTTTCTTTAATCGTGCCTGTCAAGAACTGGACAGAAAAAAATGCTTTTGTGAAAGGCAAGGGTTTATTACACTTTAGAGAGTAGTTTACATCACGGTGAGCATGTGTATGCACTTTATGATGGAACCAGAAAAGATCTTCTCCCAGGTGAGAGTCGGCATATTTCACAAACTGGAGCACATAAACGTTGCATCAAGCATGTACTCCAAACTGAACACTGCTATGAAATCAGTGGGTAAAAAATCTATTATCTCAGAGATGATGTCACAGTGAACGAGAGCTGGCATTCAATATTTGATGCAGAGTGGAGTCTCAAACTCCACTTTTACACATTGATATAATTAATTGTTGAAACACAACAACTGCTTTGAGGAAATTAACTTTGAAGAGAATTACCTTGACCAATTTCCATCACAAAGTAATGCAAATGCTGGACGGATGATTGCCAAACATATGCATTCAAACTGAGAAAAGACACAGTTTAAAACGTATGTGTTAACATTTACCCCAGCTAAACTCAGTGATGCTCCAGATGGTATCTGATCTCCACGAACTGATCCATGGAGGCATAAAATCATGCATCCTTGATTCTTTCTCCTCCAACAGCTGATGGAGACAAGCTAAAAGGTCTCCGCTATCATACACAGCAAACTCTAGCCATTCCCTTCCAGACACTGAGTGGTGACATTTTACCTTCATCAATCGGGGTTAAATTAGAAATGATGTCAGATGGAACAACACGGCGTCTGGTGTGTGTGCGAGTGTATGTGTGAATGTGAGCATCTGAGAGAAAAGAATGGGTTATTGGTGCTTAAGAAATACTCCACTGTTGCATGCACATATGAGTGTGTGTCAGTCCGTTTGTGCTGATTAAAGGCAGTCAGGCCTCAGTGATCAGGCCTTTAAGTGTCCCTGCACTCCGAATGCCAAACACAACCATTCGTTCCTGGTGCAGCCAAGTGTGGAGATTGCAGCGCTAGACCACATTGGACAATCTTAAAGGCCTGCAGCTGTGCGTGGGCGTACGTCTTTTCCTATTTTGTTGTTGGCCTTTTAGTTTTTTTATTGACAATTCCGAGCAATCTAGATAGGAAACATTTGAGCAATTTTCTTTTTTTATCTATAACTGGCAATTTCCTGCATCTATAGTAAAACGCAGTCACACACACTGAATGTGTGTCTGTGTCTGTGTATTGCTTAAAGGGCTGTCATAGTCACTTAGTGTGTATATACTATGCATATATAGATAGATAGATAGATAGATAGATAGATAGATAGATAGATAGATA